GCATTACTGTCATTTGTGATCTCTTTCAAATGTGCGATAGGACAGAATGGTAAGTTTCAGCCCAGTTGCTTAGTCTGCTTTTGAGATTACTCATATACAATGATTCTAAGTAACTAACGCAAGAAGTTTTGAACCTAGAGTTATCTGCTTGTTTGTGCACACCAACTAGCCGTGGATGAAACCTTAACTAACATGAAATTATTTAGTGTCAAAAACTTCAACTGAGATCAGTAGTATTTTCGGTCAGTATGTTAGGCCAAACATGACTTGAACAACTTGAATTCAAGAACCAGTTATTGTTTTCCTTTCTTTGGGTTTTTTAATTTGACCAGTAATCTGCATTTATTTACCAACGTCAAGTCAGTGCTTCTATATGGCTCAGAGACTTGGCGCGTCACGAAAGGCATTTCCAACAAACTACAGACATTCATCAACAACTGCTTATGCTGGCTCGCTACTGCAGATCAGATGGATTGCCAGAAAAAATAAGCAACAAGGAACTCACTCTGACTGGCAACGAACCAACCAAGAACCTATCACGCAACAAATATGCAGGAGGAAGTGGAGATGGATTGGCCATGCACTGAGAAGGCCGACTGAGGACATCACGCGTCAGGCCAGTTGCTCGAGTGGAATCCCCAGGGGAAGCGACGAGTTGGACGTCCAAGGCGAGGGTGACATGGAGGAGGTCGTGCGAGGAGGGAATGAGAGCTTCTGGGCTGTCGTGGGACCAGGTTCAAAAGATCTCAGAGAACAGAGGTCACTGGAGGCGTGCTACTGAAGCCCTATGTTCCACTAGGAACCCAAGGGACTAATAATAATAATAATAATATATATGCTTGGTTGTATTTAACGCCTCAAAGATTTCTTTCCACACAACTAGTGATAATGCAGTCTCGCTTAACTTGACAAAATAAGTTTTTTGAAATGATATCCGACTAAGCCCCATTTAAATTTGGAGGATATAAGGTGCACAATATTCTGTCAGTTCGGAAAAACTTAATACGTATACCCTGAGTTCCTCTTTGATGTTTTACCCATAATCTTTATACCTTGCTATAATTAAACTTCTGACTATTCAATAAGTCGAAGCCATTGCCTTAGGAAATATTTCATACCAGTGGCCTAGTGGATAACATTTTGGCCTCTGATGCTATGAGTACTGGGATCAAGTCTCAGTAGGAACAGTATCGCTCACAAAGGTACAGGTTTATCCAGCTGACGAGTCCCAAGGAGGAGGAGACGCTTTTCCTGCATTTTACTGCTAGTTACTAAATTAAATTACAATAAGATGAATTAACGTGTATATATACTCTTTGATTCCAATTAGTTCTTCTGATAATCTATGTTTAATGAAACGTATTTCCTGCTTTTACTGATGTGGATAAGAACTTTAAAAGTATTGTATCATACATGCTTTAAACTGTACAGTGTCACTAATTACTTGAGGTAATTATCAATGAACTTATAGAGTTGTGTGCTTTCCACTGAATAGAAGTTGTTAAAGCATTTTTAGCATGAATAAAGACTAATGAGTTTGATTCAGTTAACAAGGAGATATATGCATCTAAGATGAATGAATAAGAAGTACATACAAACGAAGTATTTCTCGTGTTTACTACAAACTTCAGTGAATTTAAGCCATTTCTTAAGTTGTATAGTAGATACAACTGACATCGTAATCGACTATATATTCCAATGTTAATTTATACACATTTTATTATTGCCAGTAGCATTACTGTCATTTGTGATCTCTTTCAAATGTGCGATAGGACAGAATGGTAAGTTTCAGCCCAGTTGCTTAGTCTGCTTTTGAGATTACTCATATACAATGATTCTAAGTAACTAACGCAAGAAGTTTTGAACCTAGAGTTATCTGCTTGTTTGTGCACACCAACTAGCCGTGGATGAAACCTTAACTAACATGAAATTATTTAGTGTCAAAAACTTCAACTGAGATCAGTAGTATTTTCGGTCAGTATGTTAGGCCAAACATGACTTGAACAACTTGAATTCAAGAACCAGTTATTGTTTTCCTTTCTTTGGGTTTTTTAATTTGACCAGTAATCTGCATTTATTTACCAACGTCAAGTCAGTGCTTCTATATGGCTCAGAGACTTGGCGCGTCACGAAAGGCATTTCCAACAAACTACAGACATTCATCAACAACTGCTTATGCTGGCTCGCTACTGAAGATCAGATGGATCGCCAGAAAGAATAAGCAACAAGGAGCTCTGGCTGGTGACGAACCAACCAAGAACCTATCACCCAACAAATATGCAGGAGGAAGTGGAGATGGATTGGGCATACACTGAGAAGGCCGATTGGGGACATCACGCATCAGGCCAGTTGCTCGAGTGAAATCCCCAGGGGAAGCGATGAGTTGGACGTCCGTGGCGAGGGTGACATGGAGGAGATCGTGCGAGGAGGAAATGAGAGCTTGTGGGCTGTCGCGGAGCCAGGTTCAAAAGATTTCAGAGAACAGAGGTCACTGGAGACGTGCTACTGAAGCCTTATGTTCCATTATGAACCCAAGGGACTAATAATAATAATTTACTGACAATTAAATGTACACTGTGTTCTAGTAAAAATGAAAACAGAACAAAAAAAAGTTTTAAAGCAACTGGCCCCTTTGATGAATTTAAACAGCGCAATGAGAAGACGAAGATTATCTGAAACATGTGGTGTTTTAGCGCCATACATTTCGAACAATCTGATCCCTCACACATCGCCTTGTCGAACGATTTATGTGAAAATTTACGAAAAAGGTCAATGAAGTTAATAGGAAACATCTGAGGGAATAGGAAGGGATAGAAAAAGGAAATATCCCTACTCTTGGTATGAAAATTAAAACCATTACTATCAAGGTAGGTGCAACGTGAGTACAAATTGTTTTTGTATACATAAAGCATGGGGTTTAAATTTACGGATGGTAAAAGCTTCAATAAATTTAAGCATTCGGCTCTGACCACTTTTATATAGTACTTTATTTACTAATGTACCTCTGGTAAAAACAGTTTGTATTTTATGCGACTATATTTCTTCCAACAGTCTTATATTCCCTATCCCTATTAATTTTTTTAAAAGATTTATTATTATTATTATTATTATGCACTGATCAAGTTGAATTCTTATTCGAGGGTGAACACGTTCAATAGATTGATGGCGTCGCGATGGGTAGGACCGTTGCTAGCTGATGTATACATGTTATATGTTGAAAACATGGCTGACGATCTCATCGGAAGGGTTTCATTTTATAAGAGAGATGTCGATGATATAGTCATTATATGTGTAAAGCCTGATGATGCCATGTGCCTGCTAGAGAAAATGAACATGTCTCAAAATCACATTAGCCTGACTTGTGAACAAGAGACGAACAACCAGCTACCGTTCCTAGATGTATTGCTCAGTCGACGGGAGGATGGCTCGATCAGGAAGTCGATCTATAAGAAACCTACATGAACAGGGCAATCTCTTAATTTCCATAGCCATTAACCAGTCAAATATAAAAAAGGTTTAGTTAGATGCTTATTCAGCAGGATAAACCGCATCTGCACCGATGACACCAGGGAGAAAGAAACCAACTTACTGACGACAACACTGACACAGAATGGATACCCGTTGAGATTTATCGACAGGTGCAAAAGTTATTTACCGTTGAAAAGTACACAGTGTTCCGTTGCTAACATAAATGACTACATCTCATTACCATTCAGATAGCTTTGTGGTGAGGAAAAGACTTAGATCAGCCATCTGTAAAACGTATTATGCAGCCAAGGTCATCACTGTAGAGAAGACAAAGTTCATGTTACAGTACAAACCAAAACAACATATAAACGATTACATCACATCCCACTGTGTTCATCAATTTACATGTATATGTGGACACAGATATATAGAGAGCAGTAATGATGATATGAAGTTAAGGAAGGTTGAATATGTACCTAAGTGGCTACAAAAACAAATGACCTCAACAGATCCGATAAGTGCAGGTGACAAACATCCATCTTCGTCTATCGCTAAACATATACTAGAAACTAACCATAGGATAGACATGAAAACAGCCTTTAAAGTATTACATAAAAGTGGTCAGAGCCGAATGCTTAAATTCATTGAAGCTTTTACCATCCGTAAATTTAAACCCCATGCTTTATGTATACAAAAACAATTTGTACTCACGTTGCACCTACCTTGATAGTAATGGTTTTAATTTTCATACCAAGAGTAGGGATATTTCCTTTTTCTATCCCTTCCTATTCCCTCAGATGTTTCCTATTAACTTCATTGACCTTTTTCGTAAATTTTCACATAAATCGTTCGACAAGGCGATGTGTGAGGGATCAGATTGTTCGAAATGTATAGCGCTAATACATCACATGTTTCAGATAATCTTTGTCTTCTCATTACGCTGTTTAAAAAAAGTAGCTGTTTGACGCGCCAGTTATAAATAATTCTCATGATCAACCAACCTCATCTCATTTCAACTATTTATTGAAAGAACATATGAGAAAGTTAACTTTATTGGCTGTCAGATTTTGCTTGAGATTGAATACGAACCTTATATTTTTGTCAAGATACTTCTTTCAGTCCACTGAACCCAAAAGCATAGATATAAAAATATCATATAAGGTCAGTAGTGGGTGTATGAAGCTAGAAAATTTATTATCTATACATTATGAAGTTTAAACTGATTACAATAAACTGAAGCTAAGTGAAACCTAAGATCTAATGTAGTCAAATTTAAGCTGTCAAATTTTTTGAAGCTCTAAGCATTGTATCAACCTGTAAAAACTGAAATTAACAGAGTAGTTTGGGACCATTTCAAGTGTTCGTTGCACTGAAATGTGTATATCACTATCCTTAGGATGACGAATCATGCTGATTGAGGAATAAATAAATATCAGAATGAATCACATTAAAATTCAATTACATAACGAAACATTACACATAGAACAATAATTTGATAGAAAAATGACTATTTATCTCAGAGGTTAACCTACTCGACGATTAATTTGTACATCCATACCCATATCCATCATTCGAGTAGCCATATTTTTTCAAGTCGAATTTGTTTATTGTTCAACTGTGTTTTATGCTGAATAATACACTAAATAATAAAATCAGGATTAAACTGAAATCTTAAATACCTTCGGATAAATTGTAAGTCTGATAGGATACTGCAAAAAATTGGCAGCCTTTAAAAATATGTAGTCTGAAACTATGTTGCCTTGTTTATCAACATATTCTATCTAACAACCTTGAAGATATTTCCCTTTTGAAAAGGATTATTTTTGTTATTTGTCAGGGAAATATGTGTATACGTGCGTGCCCATATGCCTGTGCTTTTGCACGCATATTCTTGCGTTTGGTTTCAATGTACAAGGCACAGTATCATTTTCTTTCAAAAGTGATCGATTTAAAATGCATTCCAATTACTTTCAACCTTCCCTTCATTCATTGAAAAGACCAATCACTTTGGATAGATACCAGAGGTGGGACATGTGAATATATAATAACAAACGATATATTTTTTATATGAGTGGGCTTCTTTTTGTTACCCTTTCTAAAATTCTTCCTCTTCCATATGTATAATGTTGCCCAACAAAAGTGGAAGAAATAAGATAAGATAGACGTCAAGACAATAATTGCTTGAAACAAGTGACAGAAGTTTTGTTATTGTCAAAGCTTGGCTTTCTTTATAAAACTATCAGAAAATTAGTTAGGTATGAAGTAAAACACCATACCCGTTCGATAGGAGGTCGCTGTCGTGCTCCAGAGGCCTAGTGGATACCACATTGGCGTTCGAAGCAATGAGCACTGGGTTTCAGTCTTAGGGGGGTAAAAGTAACTCACTTGGACTCAGGTAAACCCAACTGATGGGTCCCAAGCGGGGTGAAACGCACGGACTGAATTCCACTGCTAGTTACTAAGATAGATACAAGATATCGAATATTCAGAAGTATCAAGGCATTTATATAGGAGTCCGTCTACCAACAGAAATCGAGCAATTCGACCCTATACAGTAATAGGGAATTACACTTCATCTGTTTAATCATGCTACAGTTATTACTTTTTATCTTTATCTCACGTTTACTTTACATATTTCTTCATTTCATTTTTCTACATGGTTTAACCTGGAACTACTTTTAGTTAACAATGTAATTAACTTCTCATTAAACATCTGTAAATGTATTTAATACAAGCGTTTTAAACAAATCCTGTTTAGTGAATGAATGAGATACCTCAGGTGACTGGGAATACAACATAATGCAGCTGATAATCAAATATTCCATTCTAGTTTGATTTTGTTTAGTACTGACCTCTCAGAAACTGAATTTACGTTTACACACATGAGTCAACAGTGAATATATAATAACCACTGAAAGATGAAAACTTTGTCTTCTGTGGCGGTTATTTTTAATTTGAAGTAATTCCTGAATGAAGTGACTTTAAAGGCCATCCCAGTAACTACTGAAATGATTAATCAGGCTTCTGTATTTCATCTAGAAAAGTACTTTTCCATAAAATACGGGAATGTAATTGGCTGTTTCATCATTTCTTGGGTAATCTTTGAAGTCACCCTCACAATGAATTGTCTTTAGCATTATGGTGTAATATTTATAAGTTCTATCAACATACATTCAGATGGTGCTAAATGTTTACCACTTTCTGACTCTTAGTAGCTTGTGAAACAACTTTCAGTGTATTACGAATACTGTCTTCATATTATCATTATTATTACTATTATTTTGCTCAGGCGTTCCTAGTGAAACATAGGAATTCAGTTGCACACCACCATTACACTCTCTTCTCTGCAGTCTCTTCAACCTCGCTCCACCACTGACCACAAGCTCTCACTTCTTCCTCACATGATCTCCTGCATATCACCCTCACCTCGGTAGCCCAAATCGTCGTTTCCCATCCCGATTCCACTCAACGGTCTGGCCTGATGCTTCATGTCCCCAATCAGTCTTCTCAGTGCATCTCCAATCCAATCCATCTCCACTTCCTTCTACATATCTGTTGAGTGATAGGTTCTTGATTGGTTCGTTGTCAGTCAGTCAGTCAGTCAGTCAGCCAGTCAGCCAGAGTTCCTTGTTGCTTATTCGCATTATTCTGGCAATCCATCTGATCTTCAGTGTCGAGTGTCGAGTATCGAGTGAGCATAGACAGTAGCTGTTGATGAATGTCTGTAGTTTCTTTAGCGGTTAGAGTGGTTTTACGGGGTAGAGTTGCTAGCCCTATGCCGAAGCTTCCCTCTTTATCCGGGATTAGGACCGGCTAGTAACCAGTGAACTAGCTAATCAGGTGAGGTTACTGTCTTCATATAAGTTATGATTATTCACGCAGATTTCGGTTTTTAACTTTATGTTTTTCTGCACGCAGCTTTCGAAATTAGTTTGGGTACAATATATGCCACGTTAAGTTGTAATTATTTACTAACATACTAGTTTAATGGGTTCAGTTGCAAAGTAACAAAAAAAATCGTATGATTATTCCCAACAATATCTTTATATAAACAAATATTGCAATATTCAAAGTGGGTCAAAGCGCGAAAAACAACACAAAGGTTTTGTAATTAAAGAGGATGAAGTTTGTAAATGAACAGTCTGAATATCAGTATAGCAAGAGTATAAAAGAGATGTTAAACTTGTTTTTAAATGGGAGGGGGGGGAATTTTAAGATTGATAGCGGTAAGATTATTCCTTAAATCTTCCCTAGCCAAGTTAGAGATAAAGATGGTACGAACTACGTGTAAATAAAATGGTTAGTTTTAACGTTACGTAAGACGCTGAACCAGACTTATTTGAACCAACCTGTTAAGGTGTTTTAAATGTGTTTGAATACTTCCGTTTCGTACAGGCTGCCACCATTATCAACGAGATAGGATGGAAAGAAACTTCATATAGATTTCACCTGTCATTCTCCCATCTGAAAAGGTCAATGCTTGGCAGTACGCCGGTTAGTTGTGGCAATAATAGCATTATACAAAAGTGGTTAGTTGTTGGGAAGAATGAAGTAAGAATAAAACAAAAAAGAAAGTTGGCGGACTACAACAATAGTAGTTTTTACATCTATCTGAAATAGTTGTTTTTTGGCAGACTGAAATTACTATTACGGGATGATGACTAACATTGAATTGAATACCGGGGTCACCGTAGGATATAAGTGAATGATTAGCACCATATAATCACATGAAAGTCCGGAAAATGACCTTGATGACTGAAGTGAAACCAAAATCTTAAAAGCAGCCAAATCATTTAGATAAGCTGATAGATCACCAGGCCGGTAACCAGGAGCCCACTAGTTCAAGTCCGCGTCAATAATAATAGTTATACTTTGTAGTCTGAATAGTAGGACAGATTTTCGCCGCATTTTATTATATTAAGTAGATGGCCTTTGACTAAGTACAGACTATCTAGTGAGTAATTCATAGCCAAATCATTCCTGTAGAACCACTTATCTGCAACTGATAGCTATCTCTTAGCAATATCAGCTTTTGATAAAGAAGCCAAAATCTTCGTTTTGTTGATATCCATTTTCGGTTGAATTCTCTGAATATGTATCTAGTCAACAGCGTCCACTTTGTTTGATCGGTTATTCACCTCTATTCAACCCAGTATTTTATCAGTATGAAACTGGAGTAACTTTTTGAAGACAAAGAACACGATTTCAGTTATTAATGGTCAGATTATCAAACATTTTAGCAAATTTCGTTTATTAAATGATTATATCATCAGAATTTGTAATGTTATGAATGAGAGTGAAGAGTAATATCACCTTTTTTCAGCATGCAGGTGTAGAAATGCGTTTGTAACTGAAACTGAAGGACGAAAATACAAGGGACATCTTCACGTCAGCCATCAAGACAAAATGGGAAATATCAAGCAACATTCCTGAAGAAACCTGACGATGAAGTGAAGACAGGAGTATGACAAGGCTTCCGCCTACTATCATCGATCATCTTCCTGATTGCCGTCTACTAGACCGCATCACGCAACAACACGTGAGGAAGGCGAAGATGAGCATACACTGGCTGGACCGATGAAAAGACCACAGAAGAAGATTTGGATTTCGCTACCGATCATGATTTATGTTTAATGTCCTGTAACACAAACTCGAGAATCTACAGGCAAAAACCAACAAGTTGACAGAAGAGGTGAAGTGGTGAAGACGGGACTTCAAGTGAATGTAGAGGAGATAGAGCTGATGAAGATACACAACCAACAACAACAACAACAACAGCATCAACAACAACATCAACAACGATAACAACAACAACAAGCACCGATCACCATGAACCGGAGAAATCTAAATGAACTGGTCTCTCTCATCCACCTACGCAGCATCGTTTCAATTACAGGTGGTGGCGGCGGCACAGACGAGGATGTCAAAACCGAGATTGAAAAGACAGCGAGAAACGCCTTCATTAATTTGAAATCAGTGTGGAGATCTACCACACTGCACTGCACTACACTGCACTCAGCATAAAGTGTGAACGAGATCCGGATCTTCAACACCAATTCAGTAAGTTCAATGCTGCTATATACTTCAGAAACTTGGCACATCACGAAAAGCATTTCCAACAAACTACAGATATTCATCAACAGCTACTGTCTATGCTCACTCGATACTCGACACTCGACACTGAAGATCAGATGGATTGCCAGAATAATGCGAATAAGCAACAAGGAACTCTGGCTGACTGGCTGACTGACTGACTGACTGACTGACAACGAACCAATCAAGAACCTATCACTCAACAGATATGTAGAAGGAAGTGGAGATGGATTGGATTGGAGATGCACTGAGAAGACTGATTGGGGACATGAAGCATCAGGCCAGACCGTTGAGTGGAATCGGGATGGGAAACGACGATTTGGGCTACCGAGGTGAGGGTGATATGCAGGAGATCATGTGAGGAAGAAGTGAGAGCTTGTGGTCAGTGGTGGAGCGAGGTTGAAGAGACTGCAGAGAAGAGAGTGTAATGGTGGTGTGCAACTGAATCCCCATGTTCCACTAGGAACCCAATGGTAAAATAATAAATATACGTCTGTAACTTTTCAATTATAAAACAAAACTCGAAGTCATTTGAGAAAAACCAGTCAGTTTAAAGTATGAAAGCGAAGGTACACCACCTAACTAAATACACCGTATTCACTAACTGTTAAAATTTTTCAAGTGTCAACTTTTTCACATCAAAAGTGGATTACAGAAAGTGTTTACCTCTCTGTGTATTTTCGGTTTATTTAATTCAGTAACCATAAGGTTTTAAGTACACTATGTGTAGTTTAGAAAGTCACCTCTTGCTTGACATCTTCATGAGATTCTTTGAAGGAGAAAATGAGAAAATCCAGAACTTTTCAGACCACGCTAAGGATAACGTAGACTGAGGTAAATTTCAGTTGGAATCTTCCTATTGCCCTGCACACCAGTCCACGAGTGAGAGTGTCTGTGAATACTTTCTGGCAGTAAGT